CTGATTTAATGAAGCACCAAGATTATAAAAAAACTTTTCACAGCTCTAGTTTGCAAGGTGAAGCATCTGAATTATTTTTATTAACCGGATTACTGAGGTTTGACTTACTTAATACAGCCTTAGATTTCAACACGGATGGGTGAAGGAGTGCTCTGTGAAGTATGAACACAATATTTTATGACATATGTCTTTTACCTTGACCTTAATCCTTTTTTTGTTCCCCACTTTAGCTTAACCGATGGGATATTAAATCTCATTCTTCTCTCAGTCTGTCACAAAAACTTCAACCTTGGTCATAATTTTTTTAGTGAGAAAAGCTAGGGCTTTCATATTTCACATGTACCGGTACATTACCCGTGACAAGACCTCTCCAAATATACTCTGATTTTTGACCCCGTGACCTTGAAGTTTGACCTAATTTTTAAAAAAAATTAACATTGATTATAACTTTTGAATGGAGAAGGTAGGACATTCATATTTGACATGTGCATTACCTGTGACAAGACATTTTCAAACATGCTATGATTTTTTACCCTTGATCTTGAAGTTTGACCTCATTTTCCAAACTTTTAACATGATTTTTGCCTAGTTCTTACCTTTTGAATGAGAAGAGAGAGGGCTTGCATATTTCATCTGTACATTACCTGTGACAATACCTTTCGAAATATACTATGATTTTTGAAATTTGACTTAGTTTTCAAAAAAATTATCATTGACATTAACTTTTGAATAAGAAAAGATAGGTATTCATACTTGACTTATGCATTACCTGTGACATTTCTGAACATATTATGATATTTGACCAAGTGACCTTGTGCTTCAAGTTTGACCTAATTTTTAAAAAAAATTAACTTTGCTGATAACTTTTGAGGGAGAGAAAATAGTGCATTTATAATTAACATGTGTGTTACCTGTGACATGACGTTTCCAAATGTGGCCTTGATCTTGAAATTTGACCTTTTTCAAAAATTTTAATATAAATGATAACTTCTGAATGAGAGAAGATAGAGAATTTATATTTGACATCTCTATTGCAATATACCATAAATGTCATAATAACTGCTTCCCAACCACCAAGACACCAAAAGTGGGGACCATAATTCTTTGAATTTGCTTGTTACCCCTGTTTGGAAAGGTTCTTTAGTGACCATCTAGCATTTCTGTAACAAAAATTACAAGATGTATTAGTGAAACACAGATGCCCCGTATGGCAGCTCTCTGCGAAGGTTATAGTTTCTCAAATGCAAGTCAAACTCCAAGACTAAGAGGTCAAAACTGTTGGTACCCAAAGAAAGGTCTTCCGACAAGGAATACACCTATAAAATCTGAAGGCCCAAGCACCGACCGTTCAAAAGTCAAAGCAAAGGTTACAGTTTTTCAAAAGTTAGTCAAACTCCAAGGTCAAGATAAAAAGGTCAAAATTAATGGTGGCCAAGGGAAGGCTTTATCACAAGAAATAAAAGCCCTAGTGCTAACCAATCAAAAGTTATAGTTTTTCAAAAGTAGGTCAAACTCTAAAGTCAAGGTCAAAAATATTTGTACTCAAGGAAAGGTCTTATCACAAGGCATACACTGTTCAAAAGTGTGTGTTCAAGGTTAAAGTTTTTCATAAGTAGGTCAGGGTCAAAATTGTTGATGCCCAAGGAAAGACGTCACAAGAAATGTACATGTGAGATATGAAAGCTCTAACCGTGTAAACGTTTTGGCAAAGATTAAAGTTTTTTTTAAAGTGGATCAAACTCCAAGGTCAAAGTCAAATGGTAAAAAAAAAAATACGCCCAAGGAAAGGTCTTATTATACGAAGTACACTTGTGATATATGAAAGCCCTAGTTCCTACCATTCAAAACTTATGACCAAGGTTAAAGTTTGTTAATAGTTGGTCAAACTCCACGGTCAAGGTCAAAAGGTAAAAAAATTAAACTCGGGGAAAGGTTTTATCAAAAGAAATACACAGTCATGTAAAGAATGAGAGCCCTAGTACTAACCGTTCAAAACATGTCCAAGGTTAAAGTTTGGTAATTTTTGCAAAAAGTGGATCAAACTCCAAGGTCAAGAGGTCAGATATGTTGGTTCCGAAAGAAATGTCTTGTCACAAAAAATAAGAAAGGCATAGCTCCAACCGATCAAAAGTTATTGGCAAGGATTAAGTTTTTGCTTACAAACAGAGAGACAGACAGATGGACGGACAGTGCAAAAATTATGTCCCCGCATCTTTCATTACGGGGGGGGGGGGGAGTACAAATTGAAATTGACGCAAAGCATCAAATCAATCGCAAAAAATAAGCAATTTGATTTAAGTATTTCCAAGGAAAACAACAATTTTAAGTATGTTTTCTGAAGATTTAATTTCACAAATTGCAAGGTAAAACAGATATGACACTACTAGTTAATGTGTATTTGTTAAAATAGATTTTAAAAAAATCATCGATATGAAAATCAGAAATAAAAGATAGTAATATACATGTGTATCATTAAAATGAACAAGATGTGTTTGTGAAACACTGATGCCCCCTCATGGCAGCTCAAGGCCAAGGTTAAAGCTTTTCAATTGAAGGTCAAACTCCAAGGTCAAGATTAGGAGTTCAAAAATGTTGGTACAAAAGAAAGAAATATATAAGTGAAATATGAAAGCACTAGCAGCAACCGTTCTCAAGTCATAGACAAAGTTAAAGTTTTTACAAATGTAGGTCAAATTCAAAGGTCAAGATCGAAAGGTAAAAAATGTTGATACCCAAAGGAGGGTCTTTTCACAAGGAATATACATGTGAAAGATGAAAGCCATGGCACCAACCGTTCAAAAGTTATGGCCAAGGTTAAAGTTTGATCAAATTTTGCAAAGTAGTTCAAACTCCAAGGTCAAAGGTCAAATATTGGTTTCTCAAGAAAGGTCTTGTCACAAAGAACACACATGTGAAATATAAAAGCCTAGCACCAACTGTTCAAAGGTCATGAGCAAGGTTAAAGTTTTTTTTTTCTCGGACAAACAGGCAAACAAATTAACAGGCAGACGGAAAAAAGACAGACCAAAAACTTTATGCCAAGGAATCTCCGGTCACGGGGGCATAAAAAGAAAAATGCAATGAATTCCCAAAATATCAAAATCATGAACGTTTCAATGAATCCCTGGATCTGTGTCACTTGATGATGCTGTCTGATGTTTTGCACGGTGAGGTGTAATGCGAAATGTAGGAAACAAGCTAATTCAAAGAATTGTGTTCCCCAGCTTTCGGTGTCTAAGTGGTTGTGATGCCATTATTTATGGCATATTGTAACTGTCTTGTTTGTGTGTCCTTCTTGTCTACATGTCTATCACAAAAAAAGATACAAATTTTTGAATTAGTAAAAGTTATGGCAAAGATGAAAGTTTCTCAAAACTCCATCAACCTTCGAGAGCAAGGTCATGAGGCCAAATATCATAATACAATCTGTAAGTATTGTCACAAGTAACGTACATGCTCTTCTGGAGCAAAAGTCATGGCAAAAGTTAAAATTTTTTATATGAAGGTCAAATTTCTAGGTCAAGGTCATGAAGTCAAAAATAATAGTTCTTTCTGAAAAATGAAAGATGTTGTAATAGATAATGTACATGTAAAATATGAAAACCCTATCTTCTTTCTAAAATTATCATCACTGTAAAGAAATTCGAAAAAGACTGAAGGTTAAACATTAAGGTCAAGGTCACGATCAAAAAGTACATTTGAAAAGGTCTTGAAACAGGTAATGCACATGTCAAATATAAAATATAATCTATTCAAGGATTGTCAGTTAAAAGTTTTAAAAATTAGGTCTGTTATCAAAGTCATGGGTTAAAAATCATAGTACACTAGAAACGCCTTTACACAGTTAATAAACATATCAAATATGAACGCCCTTCCTTCTCCCATTCACAAATTACTACCAATGGCAAGTTTGTTTTTCGTTTTGTTTGTTTGTTTTGTTTTGAAAATTAAGTCAAACGTAAAGGTCAAGGGGTCAAAAATCATAGTACATTTGGGAATGTCTTGTCATAGGTAATACACATGTCAAATATGAATTCCCTATCTTCTCTCATTTAAATTTATGACCAATGTTAAAATCTTTGAAAATTAGGTCAAACTTCATGGTCAAGGTCAGGGGTCAAAATGGCAGTACATGTATATGTGGAAGGAACTTGACACAGGTAATTTACACATGAAATATGAAAGCCCTGTCTCTTCTCATTCAAATGCTATGACCACAGAAATGATAAGATTTTTGAAAAGTAGGTCAAACTTCAAGGTCACGGGGTAAAAAAATCATAATATAGACAGACTGAGAGATGAATGAGATTTAATGTCCCGTCGCTTTTGCGAAAGTGGGGGAAAAAAAACTCGATAAATCATCGTTTTGTTATTCGCAGTTAAAGCATATTCAAAACATTTACTAGTTCAACCAAATTTTGCTTTTGGTACTTTATTTAATATATATCAGAAACTCATAACAATTCACTGTCTTTGACCTTGATCTTCGATGGTTTGAATTAAGAAGGCACCTTCCTCTGATTATTGGTATTCCTTTAGAAAATTTGGAAACAGATTGAAAGTACATTCAAAACTTAAATTCTAAAATACATATATTTCTATTATACCTTTGACTTTGATCTATTAAGCCTTGAATTTTACAAATAGATCTTCCCTTGACCACTTTTAATATGTCTGCAGAAAGTCTGAGATTAACAGGTCAAAAAGTTCTCACAAATAACCTGAAAAAAAAGTCAATCTTTTACTCTAAGTGATGAGTGTCCACCTCAGAGTCTTTAAGAAATGCACAAAGAGCAGCCTCATAAATTCAGATACATGCATTTATTGAAATGCTACATAAATGTACATGAATTAATTCTTGCTGATATAAATAAACGTTCATTTTCACTGGCAATATACAATGTATCAAACTTATGTAAATTTGATATAGGCATCATTTACTGACGAAACACTGTCAAGCCTTTGTTTCACAGTCAGCTTTATTTACCGAGTCTCCGGACTCCCCTGTCCCAACCCCTGTGGTTTATTTACTGACAGTGTCCAGACTCCCCTGTCCCTACCCCTGTGGTTTATTTACTGACAGTGTCCAGACTCCCCTGTCCTGTAGCCCCGAGACACGCCTTACAACACACGTTCCTTACTGCCGCGAACTGGCACGCTTGTTTTCCCTGTCTCTGAAGCAGCGTGTGACAGTATACTCCATCCTCCGTCACACCTCCACACAACTCTATAACAATACTTACAAGAATATTATAAAGTAAAAGTATTATATAGCAGTTGATCTATACTTTGAAGAAAGGATGAATAAGTTCATTGATATAAGGAAAGATAATGGGCTGATCATACTTATAAGGAGAGAACCATTCAAGACCTACAGGTGATAGACATGCATTTCATTATACCCATGTTGTTAACTTTGATTTGAAATATAATATGCATAGTTTTGGACCTTTTACTGGTTGTTTTATTCAAATAAAAAAAGGAAATATATGTGTATTTATCTTTATTGGAGTCATTTACCAGATTCTCTGTTGACCTTTTTTGGAACGCACTTTCCCAATCTGCAAATCTGTGAAACATACACAATAACTGAGATGAAACATTTGCTATCCCCCTCCCCCCAACCTTCCCCCGTCTTTATCAAGAGTATTCCTTCTGACGACAACTCTGGAAAGAAACTGTATTTACCTATGAAATGTTGCAGATTATTGCGTCTTTAATTAGGTATAAGCTTTATGTTTTGTCAGAATTTACAGTTCAGATTCTTGACGTATAAAGATTTTGCTCTCACCTTATTGTCCCCACATGTGGTTCCCGGTAAGGTCACTAGCCTCGCTTTGGTTTGACACATTTTAGGATTGCTTGGATTCTGACACCAAACGTTTCCACAGAATTTGTCGTCAGCAGATCGAGACGGAGTAATATACTTCAAAATGAAACATTTTTATTAAAGCGAAGTTAAAGGATTTAGTTAAATATACCTTTAAAAGTTCTAAATTCCTCTAGATAAATGTTTAAATAATGGTATTTGTAGAAGCCTAACCAACATATACATACCCCCAGCTCCTCTGGACAGCTTTACGTATCAGTAAACCATTGAAAAAGAACTGACATTGATTTAACATCCCCAAGGGATTGTTTTTATACTTACAAAGCAAAGTGTAGAATTTTCACCGAATACCAGTTTACACTGCGTTTCGCGACTGAATTTCTGACCTGGGGGTCGTTTGTCAAGGTCGTAGGGATACGGAAATCCATGATTGTCAGCATACAGACACTGGGGTTGATGTGACCTACACAAAATTGTCATTAGATGGATATCCCCTTGATATAAGAATAAACAAGATGTGTTTGTGAAACACTGATGACCCGTATGGCAACTTATAGCGAATGTTAACTTTCTCAAATGCAAATCAAATATGTTGGTACCCAAAGTAAGGTCTTGTCCCGAAGAATATACCTGTGAAATATGAAAGCCCTAGCAGCAACCATTGAAAAGATATGGTCAAGGTTAAAGTTTTTCAAAAGTAATTCAAACATCAAGGTCAAATGGTAAAAATTAATGGTGCCCAAGAAAGGCCTTCTCACAAGAAATACACATGTGAAATACGAAAAACCCAGCACCAACCGTTCAAAAGATATGGCCAAGGTTAAAGATTTTCAAAAGTAGGTCAAACTCCAAGGTCATGGTCAATGGGCTATAATTATTAGTATCTAAAGGAAGTACTTGTCACAAGGAATAAACACGTGAAGAATGAAAGCCCTAGCACCAACTGTTCAAAAGTTATGGCCAAGGTTATTTTTTTCAAAAGTAGTTTAAGGTCAAATGGTCAAAGTTGTTGGTATCCAAAGGAAGGTCTTGTCACAAGGATTACATACGTGAAGTATGAAAGCCCTAACACTAACTGTTCAAAAGTTATGGCCAAGTTTAAAGTTGGGTAAAATTTTGTAAAACTGGTTCAAACTCCAAGGTCATCTCCTTTATGACTATTTTTTTTTTTCAAAAGTACGTTAAACTCCTAGTTCAAGGTCAAAAGGTCAAAGTTGTTGGCATCGAAAGGAAGGTCTTGCCATAAGGATTACACATGTGAAGTATGAAAGCCTTGGAACCAACTGTCCAAAAGTTATGGCCAAGGTTATACAGAGTTTTTCAAAAGTATGTCAAACTCCTAGGTAAAGGTCAAAGGGTCAAAATTGTTGATATCCAAAGAAAGGTCTTGTCACAAGGATTACTCATGTGAAGTATGAAAGCCCTAGTACCAACTGTTCAAAAGTTATAGCCAAGGTTAAAGTTGGGTAAAATTTTGTAAAACTGGGTCAAACTCTAAGGTCAAGTCAAAAGGTCAAATGATTGTACCCAAAGAAAGGTCTTGTCACGAGGAACACACATGTGAAATATGAAAGCCATAGCTTCAACCAATCAAAAGTCATGAGCAATGTTTTAAAAAGTTTTTGCGGACAAACAGAAAGATAAACAGACAGACAGACGGACGGACAGGAAAAAAACCATATACCCCCAAATCTTCGAAATGGGGGCATAAAAATTAAGAAATTTATTTTAAACTTAAAGTATAGATTTATAATACTACTTTAGGTTATTATGTAGGAGTATTAAATTGGGTTCAGTATAGTTTTTCACTATATATAAAGAATAAGCAAGTGGAAACCCAGATGAGTTTTGTAACTGTATATTTAGAATCTTCATTTGCATTGGATCATCAAAAAGGACAAACATTAGTGAATTGTACAGTACTTGAGATATAACGATACTCGTCAACTTGCCTGATAAGCTGAAGAATTTTATTACTTGAACAATGCGAGAAAGAGAAAAGATTTTGAACTTTCTCTGGGTTCATTTGATGTTGAGGCGCCATGATGTAGTTATCGTCTGCAGAGCAATTCCCGCTGTCGCGACTTTGACCATCATGAACAGCACCGAGACTGCAAAATAGAACAAAATCCTGCATAACGAATATAAATATTCTGAAAACAAAGATATTCACCTCTAATTAGCGACAAAAATAAAAAGAACGAGGGCAGTTCTGATTTAAATTGGGCAGAAATTATGACGCACTTGAAAAGTGAAAATTTCATCGATGCAACACACGATATTAAAGCATTCTATTGGTGAATTGGGTTCTTGTAATATAGGAAAGGGAAATATTTTCCTGATATTGTGTTTTGATTTGCTAAAATATGCCTTGAAATATAGCTAAAAGCGTCATGTGGCAAAAAATGTTACATTTTTATTTTTCTACAAATTTGCTACTTCTGGGCCATCGCTTCACAATTTTAAAACGCTGTCTGTATTTTAACTGAAAGAGACCATCAAATGGAGAGAAAACTCAGATACCATAAAAAAATTACAAAACAATCACACTGTGTAAATGCTCTGCTACATTGTTTTAAAATTCTAATACATTATGGCATATCTACCTGTCCATATCGGCGAGGAATCGATAATTTTGGTTCGATTCTCGCTTGGGGTATTTATTTTTTTATTCTTTTTTTAAACGAACAGTCTAATCATTCATTAGTTTGATTTTATTTACTGATTTTTGTAAAGAATTTTTAAAAAGTTATATTTTCGGAGTCTGTTGTACCGATATCAAAAGTAATTCTGTATGATACATGTAATTCGTATAGATGATTCCTGCAGATTACACACCTGCAGATTTCTGTATTGTAACAATGTCTACCTGTGTGCTATTTCATGAGCCACCACCCCCACACTCATGAAATCTCCATTTTCTCCCACAATGGATGAGGAGTGACCTTGTCTGTCACAGATCTTGTTCATGTACGCCAAACCTCAGAAAATAAGACAGCATATACACATGTATATTGTATATATAAATAAATACTTTTAAATAGTTTGGTTAACGACCATCGGATATCAACCTGGAATGAAATAATATACATTTATATTTTAAGTTATTTCTCTTTTCCAAAGGGAATGTAAGATAGGTAATTAAAGAATTTAAAATCATTTTATTAACAGATTATTTTTTTCAAACTCATCGTTGATGTTGATAGGACCTACCGTCGATTTTCTTCGAGTTTTTTACCAGAGCATATCTGAAATTTACGGTATATGTGTATAATGATCATTAATTCATCTATAAAACCACATAACGGTACACAAGGAATAAAGACAAGAACATATTAGACAAAAACATGGGAAAGAATCATTCAAAAATACGGAGAGCAGACTAGAATCTAGTTTTAAAAAAAACACGCGATCTTTTCAAATGTATTTTACAAAATATAAGTTGATCTCAGTAATGTCGCATAAGTTTATTGTTTTCGGTTTGAATTTAACAAAATTTTTCACTTTTTAGCTAATGATGTACCTTCTAAAACATAGTGTTATATTTAGCACTATAAAAGAGACAGATTTACAATTTAAACTGGATTAATTAAAACGATTATAATCATAAACATGAAAATTCACATATAATATCAGTAGCTGCGGAATGCTTGTGGTCTAGAAACGGAAATATAAAGTTGGCTTTAGATACACAGTCGCTATAATATCACTGGACGCAGTACTTTTGGTTGTAGATACGTTGTCATATATCAATGGGTGCTGTATTTAAGTTAAATGTTTTTTTTCTAGATTCACCTCCACTTTATCTTGCAAAGTAGTTCGGTAATGATATTTAATTTCTTTCGAAAATAAATGAAATTTCAGAAATGATAACCGACCATTTCCCAGAATTTTTGGCTATGCAATGCGTTTATGGAGAAGTACTCGGGTTTTTCTCTTACGCAATGTCTACATAAACTGTATATGTGACACTTTAATTACACAATTATTTTTAAGCAATTCTCAAGATTAACAATGTAAGAGCTATTACTTTAAGAAGGTAAAGGGCTTCAGTTGTGACATGCATGTTTTTGTTTTCAGGGAGTAATAAAGGTAAGTAATCATTTATTTATATATCTTTATCGCATTTCAACAATAACATATAATACAGAAATAATACATAAAGGTATTGTATGGCGGTTTTTTATAGATTACATGTATATATTATAATAAATACAATACTAGTATAATAATATAATAATAATGATTTCATGGAGAATTACCATATGAGAGAAAATTTTCTCTCAAATTGACAGCAATATTTCCCTAAATTACAGAGATCAAGGACATTGTGAGAACTTAATAATTGTACACATTTAAAAACGTTTAAAAACATGGCTTCTGCCAGTAATACTTCTTGATATATTTTTTACGAAGCTTTTCTAAATGCGGGCAAATTAAAATAAAATGATATTCATCCTCTACTTCACTTTTACACATTTTACATATTCTATTCTCCCTAAGTATTTCATTCTGTCGTCCTGTCTCAATTTCGATATTATGAGATGAAAGCCTAATTCGACTTATTTGCTTTTTGTACATAGAAGGTATAGGCTTACAAAGACAGTTAGTTGACATTATGAATTACCTATTGCAAAGTATTTTTACTGTAATTCCTACTACTCAGCTCGTTATATGGAATACAGAACTAAGACATTAAAAAGGAATGTTAGTTACATATTATTTTGCCTTTATCACCTTATCTATCACCAAGGCTGATAAATCTTGTGTAGCAAGGTTCTAAGAATAATTTTTGTTTTCAGATCCTGTCGACGGTAAATGTCGTTATCCGAGTATACAGTTCCAAGTGATTGATAATGAATCGTCTACGTGCCATTGATGTGTTTGAAGAAGTAAAAAACAGTTGTGCTACAGGACAGGAATTTTGTCTAAAGCTGTATCAGAGTCACGTGATGATTCAACAAAGATTGCCAAAACTTGACAAGTATGAAGACACAACAACAGTAAAGTTGGAAAGTGAACCTTGTTCACCAAGTCAGCAGGGTAGATTTCATGCGAAAGAAATTAAATTGCGAATTGCAAGTGAGCAACATTTAATTCTTAAAGTACAACTAAGTAAAGGAACTGACAATTGTGATGTTTGGGAATCTCGCTTCTTTAAACTGAAGGTGAACAGTACCAGCGAAAGAGTGCGAAGAAGAAGATGGAATATTTGGAGAGCAGCATGTTTTCGCTCGAGAATGGGAATGGAAGATTTAATCCAGACAACTACAAGTCTAAGCAAATCAAGGGAGGGTCTTGCCGTGTACAAACAGTCACTGAGTCCTTCTAAAGACGCCCGGATACGTCAGATTTTACAACCACTCTGTGACACTTACTTTAAACATCAGGAAAGCAAATTCATTCATGCTTTATAAATTGTACTAAGAGATTTGAATATTTTTCGGTCATAGATCTCTATGTCAAAATCTTATTGTTGATTTCAAGTTGGCTACGTACATGATACATTAATCTTGACAAAGATCTTTTGAATTGCATGCTTCTAGAAAATTTTATTGAAAGTACCATATAATTCAAATCTCAAAAAAGAGGAAAAGGGATTGGACACATGCATTTCATCTTGTGTATTTTGTGTTTATAATTGCATGTTAAATTCTTATCCAGCAGGCCCGTAGCAAGTTTCAAAAGTGAGGGGGGGGGGGTCAACTTCCCAAAATAATCTGCCAATCAAAAAAAAAAAAATTCCTTAACTGTCCATATCCTAGAATTTGCCAGTGCTCGACCTTACAGCACCAAAAAAGTGGGGGTGGTTTGGGGGTGAATGGGGTGGGCAACCAGCATTTAAATGAAAATTTACTATAGCAAAATACTATACTCGGAAAAAAGTGGGGGAGGGGACCCCTGTCTCCCCCCCCCCCCCATGACGTTCTACGGGCCTGTCCAGCAAAGAGAGGCATGCCTTGAGCAATAACTGAAATAAGATACATGCATATTAAGTAATTAATTCATAGTATCAAAAGTTAACTCTAAAATAATATTTATGGAATAAATGAATTGTCTGACGTGTGTTTGTATCTGAACATTTTTACCGACCCACCCAGTAAAAGCCACTGCATGATCGTAGTTTGGTAAGCTACTATTTTGCAGCCATTTTGTTAAGTCACGCAACACTGATTCCACATCTATCATGGCCTCTCTGGTATAGGAGGGGCGTCGAATGTGTCCTCTCAACCAAGGGACATTTTGCTCTCGCTGTCAAAAATATTCAAAATATGAGTGATTGACAGTATATTTCGATGTATGCATTGATGTATACATATTATTTTTATTTATTTATTATTTATAATTGCATTTCTCGGGCATTTCCGACATGTTTGAAAAACATTTTCATTCGTTAGAAAATTTGGAGATGGCGAATTATACGATTAACAGAAACTCTTTAGACGTGCATCACTCTCTCAAATATGAAGAGATATATATTTCATATAGGCTATTATACAACACTAACACATTGAAAATGACCTCAATATACATATAAACTTTAAGACGAATTCTGTTATGCCAAAGGTAATATCTATAAAATTACTTAGTAGGATTTAAAGGCGTGGGGAAAAAATTAACACTAAAATTCGGGAGGGGTTAGAATCTTCCACTAAATAGTTGGGATTATTTTAATGCAATGGCATTCTTATCCAGCAAAAAGATGCGTGACTTGCATTAATGGCACACTTTCTACCCTATAGTTAGAATAATGTAACTGTGTCTTGGGACAAGCCCTCACCACACGTTAAACCGGGTCCGTCATTTTAACGTTCTATCTATTTCTACCATACTGCAACAAAAACTGGGAAGGGGAGCGTTTTCAATGACATACAATTAGAGTCTACAGCAAAACACTATTTTTAAAACAGTGGGAGCCCTTCCACCTCCTGATCCCCGTAGCTCAACGGGCCTGCAAGAAGTGTTGATCAAGATGATAGAATACAACATATTATAATTCAAAATTTAAGTGTCCCAACATCTCGACTATCTATCTTCAGTATCGTGTTTTGTCCAATTTCACATAATCATTCAAAATTATCAATTTTAACCTTTAACGTCAAGTTATCTTGATAAATCTTTGAGGCACCTTTATTCAGGTTGAATTCGCCCTCGTAATTGAACAATTTCTAGATAGCGATATCGCTACCGACCAAATATCATCAGAATGGAGATAACATGTATTATATGATTAAAATATGAATTCGTGACACATCATTAAAAAATCGATTTTTATCTTGGAATGAGCAAGTATTCACCAGGGATGTCGGACAATAATCACAGCGCATCGGACAAAGGGTATTTGAACCAAAACCTTTATCGCGGTGGCTTTTAAAACACCTGAAATGCTTATAAATTAGTGTCATGCTTCATTAAAAAATAACTCTATTTTAATTTAGTTGAAAATATTGATCCACAAATGTGGAGAGATTTTAGTTGCATCACATCGCTTTAGATTGGCCTTGCAATGCCTCGCAATATGGCAGCTGCGCCTTAATCTCGGAGGTTATCATCTTCTAGTTTGAAGAAACAAAGACAGCCTACTTCTAGTTTTCATATATCGATAACTTGTATTTTCACTGAATATGACGAGCTTATAGTTTTATAGGTCAGTTGGGTATTATACGAAAAAGGTAGTAAGCCCCTAATTATCCATTAATCGGACAAGCATCTTCGCAAGCCAAGGGTTTTCGGTCCGCTTCGCTCCTCACAGACCCTTGGCAAATAACGCCACTAAAACTGTAGCTGATACGTTGTTGTTTTCAAACAAGACCCATGGAACCAATGAGAAGACTGTTTCACACTGGCGGACTTAGAGGGGGCAGGGGGCCCGTCCCCCTTTGTGTCCAAAATATACATAAGATTTAATAAATCAATTTTTTTGGTGTGGCCGTGGGCCCCTACCCCGACCCCAAACTGCCCCCCCCCCTTTAAAAGATTCCAGGATCCGCCACTGTTTCATGTCGCATTACGTCGTTTATAAAAACAACAGAGGCACAATCATCTATATTAACATTTGCCAATGTTTTTTCCTAATACAATGTATGACAATTCCTTTAAATTGACATTCAATTTTCAATGACATGAAGTTCCTCATTTGATCGGACTTCCGTGCTTATGGAAAGCAAACCGCGTAGTCCATTATCCAGTGTCGACTGCAACACCGGCAAATCCGGCGTGCCTATTACATGGATAGCGCCCTAAGTTGCATTTCCATAACAAAGTCTAAGTAGTGAATATTTTTCTGTGTAACACGAATAAAAACGAAAAATAAATATAAGAAATAAAATATCATTTTTATTAGTTTCATTGTGATATGACATGAAGTTGGTACTTGATCAAATCTACTATAACGCCCTTCACCAGATCAACTTCATGTCATATCCCAGTGAAACTCTAAAAATGATATTTTATTTCTAAAATAAATGTTTTGCAACTCTGTATTCATTATATTCTCACTTCATATATATCTTCGTCTATTGATAAACCTTTAATTACCTACTTTAGTTCTTTACTCTCTGCTTTTCTGCACATCTCCATTTCTAGTTTACAATGGATACCGAACTACACTTTGAAAACTGTTACCTGTTGGCTGGAATCCAGAGTTAAAATTTTGTGCGTCCAGAACATGTCGCTTAAGTCGGTAGTGAAATATGAATATAACGAACAGTAATCAAGCCATTAAAACAATACAAATTTGGAGCAGAGCAAATACGGACCTCTAAAGACATCAGAGGTGGGATACGATGCCATGGAGTTGTAAGCATCCCCTGTCGATAGGTGACCCCCACCATATGCTCCTTATGATCGGGAAAACAGAAAAATCCGTTGACAATTCAGTTGAAAATATGTAATGGCCCATTAATTTGTATGAAAAACGTCATTGTATCGACCAATGAATTTGCGAAATGTTGATTTTAAACGAGACTGTATCATCAACTTATTTGTTAATGGCTTGCCTCGTTTTAGAAACTATTGATAAAACGTCGTCGATATTTCTAAATGTTGAATTGAAGGCTACAGCAAGAGACTTTTTCTTTCATGTAGAAGTTTTTTAATAAATTCTGCCAAGAATTGGTGGGGAGCAAAGCGGACCGAAAGCCCTTGGTTTGCAAAGATTGGTTATTTTGTGTCCAATGCATGGTGAAATTAAATTACTAGTAAAAAAGAAAACAACTCTAAGATTGATTGATTGATTGTATGTTGTTTAACGTCCCTCTCGAGAATTTTTCACTCATATGGAGACGCCACCACTTGCCGGTGGAGAGCTGCAAATTTTGTCCTATACTCGGCACTTACGGCCATTGAGCAGTGAGGGATCTTTTTCGTGCCAGCACCTACTACGACACGGGACCTCGGTTTATACGGTCTCATCCGAAGGACCGGTCTCCCACAGTGGGATTCGAACCCGCGACGTAAGGATCAACTCCTTACTTCGCGACTCTAGAGCAGACGCTCTAACCACTGCGCCACGCGGGCGACAACAACTCTAAGAAAATTAATACAGATTATGAAATAATATTTCTTCAAATTTTCTATAATTATTAATCATTGACAAAATTCACCCAAAACGGACTCGTTCCTTGATGTCTAATGAAAGAAAGACTAAAAATTGCAAAATCATTATATTCTTGTTACTACCCTTCAATGATGTCAAATGTGACATCACTTCAGGACCATAATAGTTTTATCACCACATAATAAAATCTGCTTTAAGACAGAAACAAGTCAAAACACGGAACTTCAGATTTGATGCAAGTTTATTGCTTAAAGTTGTCCGAAGAAAGGTGAACTCACAATTCTTTAAAAACATGTAGTTTGTTCCTGTGAAGATTCTAATATCTAAATTTTTTCCTTTCGTGTTTGAGCGAATCTCGACGACACCATCACTTTTGATGCAGTCACAACAAATCTGATGTTTTTTTTAAAGGTTACGCTACTCTTATTTCAAAAATAAAACATTATGGAAAGTGATTTCTGTAATCAATGATTTCTAATACTGAAAGTTAACGCAAAGCGTCGGCCATATTGCCGGATATTAATTATCACCTACCGGACATAAAAATAGCCTGTAGTCACGTGTTGCATTTCAATCCGAGGGAAAATAAAGAAATATATTTCCATACTTTATGCTTATTTCCTTTCAAATTCAAAATGATCAAAATTGCTGATCAAGAAATATTTCTATGTTAATTAATTTTGATCAATATATTTTACTTGTATAATAAAACTGACTCCAAATCAAAAAGAGCTGCTACATCTTTGATTTATTCGTACATTTTTACGCATATAGTTACTAAGAACTTACTCCTCACAGGCGGGATATCTATTTCAAGATCGAATTCAGCTCTTAAAATCATTTTTAAAAACATTCTTAAATTAAATCAACATCAAAGCATTCTCTTTTTTTATTATGTTATTTTTTCTCACAGAGGTTCAAAACATTGACTGTATTTTGATGACGCTACAACTACATGAACTAACTCAAAACAAAAATCTACGAGAATTTTAGATAGATAACGGGGGTTAAAAAGCAAATACCATATTTATTGTGTGATTTATTGGATATAAAGTGGATTAATCAGGTGTGCTGATTTTATTTTTATCAATTTTTCCCCAATAAAGACAAGCATCCGTGCCATTATCCAGGTCAGAATTTCCTCTAACATTCTTGACAACATCACAGAATAGAAATATAAGTACTAGTAATAAACAACGTTGTTTCAGTGAACATGGTATTATGAACAACTTACGGTCTGCAGACATATTTACCATGACGCCCCATGTCTGCAGAGCTAATGTTGTCAATAACACCATGTTCACTGAAAAACATAGTTCATTTCTTAAATTTTATGCACCAATTATTGGCACCAAAACATTTTGTATACTCAAAAGAGAAATGTTTATTCGGGTAAGCATGGAACTTTTAGAATAATTTTCAGTGATTCAGAGTTCTTACCTCTTCTATGACAATGGCTGCTAACTTTATTTTGATGTCTAGCCCAAACTTTGTCATGGTTTGGAATCTTTCGTTCACCTTTAAATGAATTTATCAGCATTTTGAATAATTAATACATAAGCAATCAATCTTTATTTGCTTGATAAAAGCATATTTGATATCAGGGCCCGTAGGAAACGTCTTCAGATTTTGAAATGGAGTTAAGATTTTAGAAGGAGCTCGAAGCTTTAATTGGAGAAATTTCATTTTTCCCAGAGAAAGTAAAAATTTCCTGGGGTGGGGCTAAAACTTCCAATGCTGACCAAACATTTAAATCCTACTGCACTGAAAGGGGATGGCTTTTCACAATGAGTTGACATTGTTTTTTTGGGGGGGAGGGGGGGGGGGAGGCTCCAACACCATTCACACGTATTCCATCACTTAGCCACGAATCTAATACATTTAAGATAGTGATTTCACCTGCGTATTTTTTAGCTACTAATGGTGATCTATAAATTAATTATTGCTCTTGCGAAAGCACCTGAATATTGTACCGTTGATTTACTTTAGTTCCAAGTGCCATCCCAAAGCAACAAAGGAGCCATATTTAGAAAGCTTACTTATTTTGTGGCTGCTCTCCGGCTCCATTTAATCAATGCCACAAATAAATAAGCAATTACAACGAGTAAGTTCCTATTTTAAAAAAGAGCGGACATTGAATGTTTATTTGTTTAATTACTGGTTTATAGTGCCAACTGTGACTGCAACAGCAAACCTTCCCCCGAGACCTTGACCTTATGCATGGCATTTAAAGTGATCGTTTCATATTGCATTATTCATCGATATTAACATTTACATGAAACCTCGCACAGATGTGCTCTAGTGCTGTCTTACGCAGCATCGACAAAAACTAACCATTTACTTCCCCCTTGCTGTGGAGTTATTATTAGCTGAGAGTACAGCTTCCGCTAGAACTCCATTATTTGCTCAAGCCCTGTGTTTTATTATCTATAAACCTTTATCGCCACCATATTTTTGGATTTTAAGCGATTCTACTGTTTACTTTTGATATATGATTTCTATATCAGAATTTGACTCTCGGGGATTCAATTTAATTTAGGTTCTTGTACACTCCACTGGACGATGTGAGAGATCGATATCCGCCCGGTTCTGGAACAGTTGTTTACATTGGCGACCACTACATGCAGTAAACTACCTGCAATTTTAATCTAATTGTATTGTGTCTGTTTTTAGATTGTGCTTTTAAAGGTACGTTTAATTAACGCTAACAATGCCACAAATAAATTTAAAGATTTTAATAAGCTCTTGAACAGAATTATAATCTAGCATAAGAAAAACTAACTGTGCATGGTTGAAATTTTAACTGTTGGGTGCATTTTAAATCATTCCTATCATATTCCAGAGTACTGAAGTTTACTGAGTTATTGTGCCCCTTGACCAAAAACACAAAATGGCGTCCGGGGAAGATGACTACGATATTGATGCTTTGACAGAGAAACTGAAGGCTTTTGCTCTTGCTCAGATAAAGACCACTGCCAAGATGGACAGTAAGACAGTGGGAAAAGTAGCCAAGGAATGCTGGCCCAAACCCCTACAAACCAGGGTGGACTCCAGTGTTTTCCCCAAAGTTATGGACAAAACTACCAAGTACGTTAAACCCAACATATGTAAAGTTAGTAAAGGCCTAGATTATATTTGTATGAGGTGCCATAAATAATTGACAGAGATACCCTCTTGTTATTAGTCATTGATACTGAATGATAGCGAAAATCATTGAATTCACAGGTACTTTACATCATATTTTTCCCACCAAGAATATAAACCCTCACTGAATTTATTTTGTTTGGTGGTAAGATAAGTTTGGTGATCTCATTAAATTTACTGTTACAGTTCTTGCGTCTTATTATTTACAATTTAAACAATTAGACATACAATTATGACGTCTTTCTTTTTTATGGATCATCATGTGGTTTAAACTTCATTTAGCGCCTTGTATATTTGTCTACAGGTCTATAAATCTTGATAATAAGGATCAAATCAGAAAGTTCATATCGGAAGCTGCCATTCAGTATGATGACGTCACCAAGAAAACAAAAGAGTTCAAGAAACATGAGAAGTTTCTGGCCGAGAAGATAATTGGATCTGGTACAGGAATAAAACAAACGGTATTTAACTGGCATTCACAAGCAAATTCATTTCAAATGTTTAAAGCGTGCAAAATATTCAGCTTCGTCTGAATAATGGATATGATGCTTTGTATTTATCATTTAGGCCTAAATCTTTAAAGTCAAACTTTAAGTGATGTTAGACTTAAAGAGGTTAAATGTGTTTTGTTAAATTAGGAAATTTCCAAAACCGGGGGAGTTGACCGTATGACGGACACCTCCAAATACACTGGGTCTCACAAGGAGAGGTTTGACGAATCTGGAAAGGGCAAGGGCAAAGAAGGTCGTGTAGATAAGGTAGACGACTCTGGATATGTGGGGAATTACAAAGATCAGGGGACTTATGACAAAAAGCACTGATCTTCGCTGTCGCCATGCGTGTCTTATTCTCTCTTTTAAATCTAATGTTTTAATGTACATGATTTATACTTCCCATTTTTAATATACACTGTATGTAGATTTTTCATATCTTGCAGATGTTTAGTAATGTTGTACTGGTTTTTCTACTGTTTTTCCCCTTATCTTTACAGTCTATGATGGTCGTTACAACGGAGTAAAATTAAGTGAATGAAAGAAAGATTGTATTTGTGCAATAAGATTCTCTTAAGTCTTAAGAAACTAAATGGCAATAATCAAAATCCAAACGTGCTAAAGTCAGTGGTTGTTTGTCGTAATGAAATATTTGCATGAAATAAAATCGTTTTTATATACACGTAGTTTTTATTCTCTGACTCGAGTGTAATAAATACTTACCATAGCAAACACTGAACTGAAGTACATGATGATGGCATTATGGGTCTGACGTACGTCTCTCTGGTTTCTTTTGAGGAACTTCCGGAACAGCTGAGCGTCAACAATCGCCATAACTTGAAGGTTCAGAATCGGAATTGACGGCGATTCCTCTGCTGCTTGAATACTGTCTTCATCTATTCTGTCATTCATTTCTTCATCAGTTATGACGTCATTTTTGTCATTATTTACCTTAATCTGCGAATGATAAAGTCATTAATTATGTATGTGAATTGGACACTAGTGCAGTTGTATCTACTTGATCAATAGCAGATGGCCGACGACGGAAAGGCGCGAGTGTGTTTTGATTGCCATTTTAATTTTATCAAAATTCTGAGTGCAAATTGAGCTCTCGTTTTATCTTTATTTAATTAAGAACAGGTGTTTTCAAACGCACCAATTGGTCCTTGTCTCGTTGTATTATGTCCCAATCCATGTCAACGTCCCCACTTCCGGTTTTATCTTTTGTGATGATGTCATTCGTTGACCCGTCATCACTGAGATCATTGTACTTATAAACGTCGTGTTTAACATTGTAACCTAGAATATTTGATTTTTCTTTTTAAAAGAACGCAGATAATTAAAAAATATGTTTTCTCTCTCACTCGATTCGAGCAGAGCTTCTTTGAAAAGAGGATATCCTGGCTGTCACAACTTCCTCTTTGTAAAGAATAATTTAAAAATATATATAATATGTTGCAAGGGTCACAAGAATCTGTCTACCGCAGTATGGGACCATTTAACAAGATCAAGCAACTCAAATGGAATGAAATTTATTTCGGAAAGTTGAGTATTACTTACCTTGTGGATATACAAAAATGAGTTTCTCTGGGCTAGGACAAAAAATGAAAGAAAACTTACCGGTTTTAATATTGTGAAAGTCAAGACAATGGACGGAAATGTTGTGAGCAACAGTACACAATAAGAATGAACGACCATTGTAAAAACATCCCAGTCAAACGACAGCCAAATTCAAACTGACAAAATCTGTCTATATGGCATCAGATGTGGATTGGCGAGTGTTTGAGGGGATTTTCTTGGACCCTCCCTGAGAGACAAATCTGATTCTTTCTGCCATGTCCTTGAACGGTCAGTGGTCTATGCATGGAGTATTGAGAAGAAGAGATTTTATTTTATTTTATTATTTGTTGCAATCCATACATATTTTTTAATGATAACATCGCTCCAAGAATATTAGACGCAATTGTTTTGTAAACATTTGAGGATATGTTTTATATGAAATGAACTCAAATAAGGGACCCCCCCCCTCATTATAAAATTTTTAAAAACTAGGTTAGCCCTGAATTCATTTAAATATGAAGGGGGAAAGTGCCATTTATATATTAAAATGTGCATATCAAAATATGTTAAAATAGATAAATATATAAATTTAGATCTGGCTCTCTTGCAAGGACAAAGGCAGCATTTCGTAGATTATTTTATCCAACCAATGCTTTCCTTAAATCATGGATCGGCAAGACTAAATTATATGAAATTTCTCTTCCGTAGCTGTTTCAGGTAATTTAAAAAAATTCTAAGGAAAATAAATCACTTTATTTTCCTTTTAACCTTGACCTTGAAATTTGTCCCACTTTTGAAAAACTTCAACCTTCAATTGCCATAAGTTTTGAAAAGTTGGAGCTAAGGCTTTCATATTACACGTGTATTTCTTGTGACAGGACCTTCCAGTAGGTACCATTCATTTTTGCAATTTGACCTTGATCTTGGGGTTTGACCTATATTTGGAAAACTTTAACCTTAATCATAGCTATTGAACGGATGTTGCTAGGGCTTTCATATTTCACAGGTGTATTTCATCTTACAAGAACTTTCTTTGGGCATATACCAACATTTTTGATCTTTTGACCTTGGAGTTTGACTTGCATTTTAGAAACCTTCGCCTTTGCCATCAGCTGCCATACGGGGGGCATGTGTTTCACAAACACTTCTTGTATTTTCTTGTTTTTGTCATTTGCACAATAAAGTCATTCTGACTCAGAAATCTTTTTTTGGCTAATATTTCCTACAGTTATTTGTAAATTTATTGATTACGTGTATTATAAAAACGAAAAGACGTGCACTGAGGCGAGAAGCGTCATCATACACAATGAAAAAACAATGGGGAGGGTGGACTGAAATCCAAGAAATAAAAGGAGGTTGGTTCAAGTCACAGCTCAATGACAAGCAAATAAGTTTGGCTAGAAAGAAATTATCTTATGAAAAATTTTGCTTGAGTTGCTTATTGATACTAACAAAAGGAGGTGTGTAACTACACGTATGAAGGCTAATTATGTTTTAATTTTACTTTTAAAATCAGTAAAAGAGCTTTTAGGAGCTTTTGGGCGCTTAGCCCCCACGCCCCATCCCACCCCCGGACCCCCACCAGGCCAGACATCTGAAAAATTCCATGCCCCCCTAACCAAAATCCCTGGATCCGCCCTGCGAAAAGATCCAGAAATATAATACAGAGATCATTTTATGGGATTTTATGGAATATTTATATATATAAGTGTTTTTTCAACAATATTCTTGGAGGTCTGCGTAGATGTATAAACTTCATGATAAACGTTTCTATTGTCAACTTTCCTTATTTATGGAGCTATATACCACAAAGGCACTTGAAGACAGACCCCCCCCCCCCTTAAAATTACTGTAGGCCTTTTTTTTTTCTTTTTTTTTTTTTTAAATTTTGCCCTCTCCCGACCGACAGGCTAAAAACTTTTTTTTAACCTCCAGGAAACAATATGTTATTTTCTTTTCATACCTGAATTTTCTCATCCCGGCAACTAGTATATCGAAATTTTCTGGGGAAGATTTTTTTCTCACCCCTACCGACCCATTATTTTTACCCTGAGTTGGGAGAGGTCAAACAAACATTATTTTAAAGATGCCTAATGTTAACATTTTTGAAAAGTAGATCAACTTCAAGGTTAAGCTCACAGGGTCAGATATTGTAAGTCTTGTCAAAGGTAATGTACGTGTGAAATAAAAAAGCCCTATCTTTTCTCATTCAAAAGTTTTGATCAAAGTTAAAGTTTTTGTGTCAGACTGACAGGTTTAATGTCCCGTTACTTTCGCGAAAGCAGGGGACAAAAAAAAAACTGAAACATAAATATGGCGCGAAAAAATCGTGTTCCAAAATTCATGCATGGACCGAGGTAGTCCGAAATATCTGACTTTTTCCTGGCTTGTTTAACGATTTGATATTTTACGTTTTCCTGGCACGTAAAACATCAAATCGTTAAAAAAGCCAGGAAAACGTCAGATATTTCGGACAAGGGCCGAGGATGTATAAATTCTTAGGTAAGAGGTGAAATCCACGAAAATTAAATCGCGCTCATATTCGATTTGTCCCAGGGTGAATAATTCTGATTCTAATAAACACAAGTATTAGCTTTCCTAAAAAGCTTGTCTGACTTGAGCAAATTTATTTTTATGCAATGAATCAGGAAAAGTTAAATCCAGTGTGATCAACATGACTTTGAGTCATGAAATGAATTCTTTTGAGCACTAAGAAACAAAATAAGTTCAATTCAGAAACTTATTCTATTAGAGACGTGATTCTATATACACTATATTACTTTTAAATTCTTTTTTTTCATGGACATAGGAACGGGGAAGGGGGGTGGGGTTGAGGACCATGAGCTCAATAATTTTGCCCATTTATAACATAGCTACTTTATGCTTGTGTCCCCTTAATCATGTAAATATTAACTTCGGATAATTTTTTTTCATGCTCAATAAGGAATTTTTCCTTGATTGTGTCCACCCGAAACTGAAATTTATTCCAACGTGCCTGTCAATGAATAGAAAGATATAACCAGTGCTTTTGAAAGAAAAAGTTACAACACATAAAAATCTTAACATCAATTGGTGAACAATTTTGAAAATTAAGAAATGTCTTATTGAAAAAAAATAAAATAAAAGGGTTTCAAATGAGCTAATATCTTTGCATTTAATTTAAAGCAAAAGAATATTCAACATCTATCCTTCACTTTGATATTTTTTTTAACTATGAATAAATCAAAAGTCTGCAAGTTATGAATATGTGTAGATTTATAAAGGTAGAGGGACATAGTGTATGCATTGAAAATAAACATCCACTAGTTAATCTGATAAAGACAATCGCCACTGAAGTGTTGACCTGACCCGCTTCATTCCTTCTGTTTTGCTGGACATGAATGAGGCAATTTTCGAGAAAGGCCAAATGCCAATGTAACCTGTAATGTATTTATAATGTGATAATAATGACATCAGCTCCGTTTGGGTGTTTAGCATGTTTCTATTACTCCACATGCTCTCCAATTGATAGTTAAGATAGTATGAAGTTTCCAAGATCAAGTTATCACAAGAATTCTATTGAACGACTTGACCACCAGGCCTTGGCTAAATCTAGTACTGTCTGACGCCATGACGTCAGACAATTATTTATTGGTATGTTTTATGATTAAATGATCTAATACACTAATCATCGTTTTATCATTATCATCATCCTCGCCTATAATTTTACGATATCATACAGCAGGTGTCCATTCATAAAATATCTTATTCATATCCATCATGAGGTTGAATGTTCAATGGTCCAGAGTGGGTGAAGCCTAGAGTAACTAGTATGATCAGGTAGCAATTTCAGTCTGGAGGGAGGGAGGCATAACTAAACATTTTCAGTTGGGGGTGGGGTCTGCCAAACAAAAAATCCTTGACTAGCAAAAAACGGGAATCACGTGACATAACTATCGAGGATTCATTAAATACTTTATTCTTTATATAGTATACTATATATCCGCGGAATTATTGGGGCACGCCCTCCGGTTCCTACTGGCATGATGATTGATGGTTATTTTAGACTTATGTGAAGGTTTTGCATATTTTTCATTAGATGCACATATGCTTGGCGCCAAATATTCCAACTTACTCTTTCCATCTTTGGACAATCAGGAGAAAGAAAGAATTAATCTCTCATTCACTATGTTGCCGAATATCATTTTACAATAACGACAAAGAAATGTCTCCGACTTGATAAATTAATCAAACTATTTTATATAAAAATAATTTCCTACTTAAATACTGTATATAAATTAAAAAAAAAAATAGGTGTAGATTCAAAATTTTTATTCAGTATTGTTATAGGTCACCAATTTTCCATATATTGAAATAGAACACATCGCAATATTTTTATTCACAAAAAGAATGACAAGTAAATGTTAAACTAGTAGTTACTCTGTCACTCACAGAACGTAAACACACAGGCACGCAAGACGTTACATATTTTTCTTATTAAAAAAACAACCCCACACCAAATGAATTTATTAGATATGGATTTATTTTTTTTTTATTAAATAAGGAAATATGTAACGTCAAGTACCTGTGTGTAAACATTACATTTCTGTCAACGATAAATAACAACTATGACGTACAAGTGACGTCATATCGTATTTGGCACATAGGAGTTGAAGGTACGTCAATGCATAGAAGGCCAACATTAAACTCTGTTCAGAATAAGAACCTGAACAGAAATACTATTTTGAACTTTGAACTGCTGGCTGCACTTAAAATTATTCCTTTCGTATTCCAGAGTACTGTTCAAAAGGCTCGCCTACGAGTTAGATTGTACCCACTGACCAAAAAGATGGCGTCAGGAGGAGATGACTATGATATTGAAGCTTTGACAGAGAAACTGAAGGCTTTTGCTATGGCCCAGATAAAGACCACTGCCAAGATGGATAGTAAGACAGTTGGAAAGGTAGCCAAGGAATGCTGGCCCAAAGCCCTACAGACCAGAGTGGATTCCAGCGTTTTTCCAAAAGTTATGGACAAAACTACCAAGTAAGTTACCAACCATTATTATTGAATATTGGTAAGAGGTGAGATTCAGTATGATAATCATTTATTTTAAATGATCTATTTAAATCATTAATTCTTATGGATTGACCAATGTTTAATACCTAGAATGTTCATATCATGTGATCATGTGTTAGACAGTGTAATTTTTTCGTGTTATATTTATCGAATCATTTTTAAAACGATTTCTAGCTATGATTTTTTGTTTGTTTATAGATCTATAAATCTCGATAATAAGGATCAAATCAGAAAGTTCATATCGGAAGCTGCCATTCAGTATGATGACGTCACCACGAAAACAAAAGAGTTCAAGAAACATGAGAAGTTTCTGGCCGAGAAGATAATTGGATCTGGTACAGGAATAAAGCAAACGGTATTTAACTGGCATTCACAAGCAAATTCATTTCAAATATTTAATATTTTTAATAGAATATTCAGCTTCGTCTGAATAATGGATATGATGCTTTGTATTTATCATTTAGGTCTAAATCCTTAAAGTCAAACTATAGAAGTGATGTTAGACTTAAGGATATCCGACCCTCAGTCAGGAAGGATAACTTAAATTTATTATTTTATTTAAAAATTCTAAAAATGAAGCTTGAAATTGAGATCTTTTGTGCAACAATTTTCATTTTATTCACCTTAATATGATTCAAGGTTCTTTGAAGTGTTAGAAACGGCCTTGTAAAAAGTTGACATTTGTACCCCATAAAAAAATGAATTCATTTTTGGAGAAATCAAATTTCCTTTACTCTAGCATTAGATACCACTGCTTATTAGCATGATATGAAATTATGTGATATGTGATGTCTAGCAATGATAGCACAAGCTTTTTACACTATGTACATGTATCATATCAGAAAATTCATAGCAGGTGTTTTTATTCACATTTCCTTAAAATATATTTGAGATTTGATAATTTTCCCAATATAATAATTAACTATAATGATGAACTTTGAAGAAATTCCATGGGTAAATTCACGTTACTGTGTGAAATCAGAGACATTTTTGTGAGCATTTTAAATTACTTAAAAGCTGATTTTCAGAACCTGAGGATCGGACTACCTTTTTAGAGGTTTAACGTTATGTGTTTTGTTAAATTAGGAAATTTCCAAAACCGGGGGAGTTGACCGTATGACGGACACCTCCAAATACACTGGGTCCCACAAGGAGAGGTTTGACGAATCTGGAAAGGGCAAGGGCAAAGAAGGTCGTGTGGATATGGTAGACAACTCTGGATATGTGGGGAATTACAAGGAACAGGGGACCTACGACAAAAAACACTGATGCATGTCTTATTCTATTTTTTATAGCTTAGTTTTATAATGTACAGTACATGCTTCCCAAAGTTTTGTAGATATGTTTAATCTTGTAAATATTAAGCAATGTTATACTTTCCTGAGGTATACTTAGGTAAGAAATTTAGTAAAATAGATTGATACATGTACAAAGAAATATTGTATAACTATTTGTGCAAAAGAATACTTTTGTGCTGAAGAAACACATTGGCTATAATCAAGATACAAATATATGCATAAACCATAGGCAAGGGGTGTTATGTTATAAAACATTTGCGATAATCGTATAATCATACTTTATAAAATTTGTTCTCTTACTGGAGGTCTTATTTTTTAAATACTGTACTTTCCGGTGCTCTGGCGTTTACACACAACATAACATCTTAAAGGGGCCTGGACACAGTTGCATTGTTATTGTTATAATGTTTAACGTTTTACCGGGTGTGTTCGATGGTTTAGTCTGCATACATCACTGAGCACAGATCAGTTGTCACTGACAATACTGGTGAGTTGGTTTTTGCAATCTCGTATTTCCACTCTGAACTTTCTGGATTATAGTTTTCATATTTTTCACTAACACACAGCAAAATTTCTACTTATGGATAAAGTTTACTATGTGAAGGTGCAAGGATATTTGTCAATCAAATGCGTCCTGAAAATCGTAGTTTTAATAATTTCCAGATAAAAGAATTTTCTTAACACGCTATCAATATATTTCAGTCTGAAATGCTCTAGCAACATAGTAGTCATGATATTATTTAGAAAATTTTAGAAAATATGAGCTTCAAATCAGTGTCCCAGCCCCTTTAATGTGGTGCACGTTATATGTTCGTGTGTCATGTGTTAGCGCTACGGCATGATGTACAAAATTATGTCTGTGCGATATCGTGTTATTCAAGAAGTACGTTACGACGGCAAGGTTTGAAAACTTTTTTTTAAATTTATTGCATTTTCAAAGGTTTCTTTTTACAAAAAAAGAACATTGAGAGAGAGAGAGAGAAAGAGAGGGAGAGAGAGGATTATGAAAATAAGTCTTTCAAAAGTCTCCAGCTTTCATCAAAAGATTCTCTTTCATTATTTTTATAAGATATATATTTTTGTAGTTCATACATTGTCTTAATAGAGGATATCAACCCACCTAAGGAAATGTTTCTGTTTGTACATTTGTACAGATAAATGTAATATTTGATTTGTAGAGCAATAATATTTTTAAGCATGTCAGTTTTCTTCACAGAGCCTAGTAAAAATTCTTCTTTTTTTTGAGAAAGTTAAAGTAGTGTGGATTCTATCAGAACAGTACTTTGCAAAATTCTCCAAAAGAGCCTGAACATGTTCACATTCCCACAACAAGTGTTCAATTGTTTCAGTTTCTGTTTTACAAAGAGTACATATATTATTGTCAATTTTATTAATTTTATGCAGGAAGGAGTTTGTTGCTAGTATTTTATGATTTATTCTAAATTGGAACCACTGAAGTTTTGTGTTTTTTGTAATTTTGAATGGAAGTAAAAAAAATTTCTCCCATTCACCATTGCTCAAGTCAAAGACTCTATTCCAAGAGGTTTTACCCAAAGGTTCAATTCTTTGTCTGATTAATATTTCATAAAAATCATGCGATTTTTTGGCATTCAACAGAGAATCAACATTCTCTGGAATATATGGATAAGTTACCTTTAATAAATTATTAGGATCTCTGTTTATCTTTCTCAGCCATTCTAATATTGCTGCTTTAATGCCATTATATTCAAGAAAATCTGTTTTTATCCCATATTTTGCATGCAGGTCATTCAAACTCATAAATGACCCATCTTCATAAAGTATATCACTAATACACGAAATATTACATGAAAACCATCTCCTATAGAAAAATGGCTTTTTATTAATAATTAAATTTTTGTTTAGAAATAATGGTTCTAAAGAAAGAAGTGTGTCATTTTGTAAGGATTTGTCACAAAAGCTTAACCATGCTTGCAACACATCCCTACAAAATATATTTTATAAATCATTCTTTTTGACAACATACTCTTGCCTACAGTATACTACTTTTTTTAATGTCATCATCTAAAAAAGAATCTAACCCATTGTCCTGTAGTAACAATTTTTTCATCCATACTAGTTTTAAGGACATAATGAACTCTCTTACACCGATCATCTTGAAGCCCCCTTCCTTATAATTCTTTATACAAATTTTCCTTTTCAGTCTTGAATTATTACTACCCATTACAAATGTATACAAAATCTTTTCTAATTCTTTTATTTGTATTTCAGAGGAATTTGGGAGAGATGCAAAAATATGATTTAAGGTCGGCAGTAAAAGGGTTTTTAAAACTGTCAAACGACCAAGAGGAGTTAAATTTCTCTTATTCCAGTGTTGTTTTGATTTTTTTATATTACCAATTTCAGATGCATAATTAAGCATAAATATGTTTTGAAGATTTGTATCAAATTCAATGCCTAATAATTTAAAAGTTTCTTTTCCCCACTCTAACATATTTTCTGTACACAGAGTATCATTGCTACCTTTTTTTGACCCAATCCAAACTACTTGAGTTTTACTATAATTTATATGCAAACCTGACATGCCCGCAAATTTTTTAAGAGTAGTGAGACTAGATTGAAGTGATTTTTCACTTCTATCTAATATTAGAGAAGTGTCATCTGCCAACATAGTTAACTTTTTTTCAGTATTCATAAACTGAATCCCTTTTATATCTTTATTGTTTCTTATGCTGATTGCAAGGATTTCTGCACAAATGAAGAATAAATATGGAGACAAAGGGTCTCCTTGACGGCAGCCTGTATGTAAGTTAAAAGACTGTGATAGATTTCCTCCTTGATTAACAGCAGCTGTAATATTTGTGTAAAAAATCTCAACCCATTTTCTAATGGAATTACTAAAATTAAAAAAATTGAGGGATTTCTGTATAAAAGACCAAGACAAGGAATCAAAAGCTTTTTCAAAATCTACCAGGAGTAAAAGTCCTGGTCTATGTTCTTCCTCTGTAAATTGTATGATATCATATATCAGTCTTATATTTTCAGAAATATATCTTCCTTGTATAGAACCAGTTTGATCTCGATGAACAATTTTATCAAGATATCTTTTCATTCTATTAGCAATTGAGCCGGATGCGATTTTATATACAGTATTTAGTAAAGAGATAGGTCTCCAGTTTTTTAAAAGTTGTCTGGGTTTATCACCTTTCGGTATACAAGTAATAATACCATGTCTTTGCGTGATACTTAAAGTATTGTTTTCATAAGCATAGTTAATGGACCTTACAACAAAAATACCAACAGATTTCTAAAATACCTTAAAAAACTCTGATGTAAACCCATCTGATCCTGGCGATTTGTTTGATTTCATATTGTGGATTGTTTCTGAAGCTTCTTAATGTTATTTTACCTTCTGTCTCCAAGGACTCTACTTTTGAAAGTTTAACAATATTTGGAAAGTTTAATTCATCATCAAGATTGATGTCATTTATAGAATTATCTATATCTCTATATAAGTTTTCATAATATTTTTTGGCTTCATTCAGTATTTCGGCCTGCTTATAAATAATGTTACCATTTTCTGTTTCTACTTTTGGAATGATCTTGCTTGTAAAATTTCTGTTCTCTAAGTTGCAAAAATAATGTGATGGTTTTTCCCCTTCTTCTACCCATCTTGCCCTAGATCTTATTAAAACACCCCTTTTGTCTTCTTATATCTTCTAATTCCTTATTTTTTTCTTCTAAAGTTTCAACATTGTCAGCAGTAGTATGTATTGTTTCTTCAAGGTGTTTTATTTCTTGTACAAGTTTTTCTTCTTTTAGTTTTGTTAGTTTCTTTTTGTATGAAGAGTAGGAAATACATTTTCCTCTTATTTCCATGAGAAGGGTTTCCAAAAACAATTGGTCATTTATTGTAAAAGTTAATTCTTCATCGTTAACTTGTTGCAAGTTTTCCATTAAATATACAGGTTCAGCATACTGTTTTTTAACATTCTTAATTACTTCATTTATAGTATAAAGAACATTCTCATCACTCAGAAGGGAATTATTAAATTTCCAAAGACCTTCACCTTTCTTAAAATCACTAAAAGATAAAGATAAACTAATCATGGAATGATCAGACCTATAACTTGTTTCAATTGTACATCCAATTGCACTTTGCAATAGATTTTCAGAGATCAGAAAGAAATCGAACCTGCTTTGTTTTAGTGGATTTTTTTCCTCCATGTATATCTTTGAATGTCTGGATGGAACTATCTGTATATATATCAATATAACCACCATCTTCCATAAAATCAAGAACCTTTTGCCTTTCATTGGGATTATTTATATGTTTGTAATTATAATAATCAATGTCTGGGTTCAAAACAAGGTTGAAGTCACCACACATAATGACACTTCACAATTAAAATCATCTATACATGTTTGTATGTTTTCATAGAAGGCTGGATTATCATTATTGGGGTCATATCGTGTTATTCAAGAAGTACGTTACGACGGCAAGGTTTGAAAACTTTGATAGAATTGGAACCCTTGTCACCGTAATGTATTTCGTTGATACTACTGTATCTACAATATTAGCCTGTGCGGACTGGTCTTTCTGATGAGACCGCATAAACCGATTTACCCTGTCGCAGGAGATGTTCGAAAGAAAAACATCCCCTCACTGCTTAATGCCCATAAGTACTAAGTACTGTCCTAAATTTACAGCCTTCCTCCGGCAGCTGGTGGTGTCACAACATGAATTCGAAATTCTCAAAAGGACGAAAAGCAAACAAACAAAATATCTAAAAGTACCGGTATACTGTTCTATAAAAAAAAAACACACAATATTGTAGAAAGTAATAGTATACATTAATTAATTTCAAATTGTTTTTTCATACAGTTTATTATGATTCATACGAGTGTTAAAGATAATACTGTTAACAAGACAGCTATTCTACAGAACTTGCAGACGATAAAACCTGTTTTTGTAAAGTGTTAAAATTCGGTCTTCGTAACGGCTTTCTTTTGTGGTTTCTGATTCACGTGAGTCTATCAAAAGCAAGGCTTCTCAGTTTTCGATTTTGTTATATTTGAATCTGGATCCTTAATACAAGCAATTGTGCGACTACAAGCAGTTGTACCACAGGTTAGAGTTACACGATGTTTTAAAGGTGTTTGGACACAGATTTGAAGTTAATATTTTCTCAAATTTTCTGAATAATTTCATGACTTATATGTTGCTATAGCATTTCATACTAAAAAAT